CCGCCTGCCTCGCTGTGATACTGGGGGGGGCAGCAAAGCTGGGACACATGGGGCTAGGCCCCCCCCAGCTGAGCAGAACACAAGCTCTGAAAGCCCATCTGGCCTGTTGCTGTGCCCAGACCTGCCCATCTCTCCAGAGGAGTTTGGGGGGGTGGGGGACGGGCGCGGGAAATTCCCGCCCCCATGAGGATGCACTTTGCCAACACGACCATGGTCTTTGTGCCCGCCACTGCCCCCACCCCCGGCCCCTCTGCAGCCTCGGGCGAAGGACGGGCAGGACATTAATGCAGGCTCCTGAGACCTCAGGCCGAGGGGGCAGGACCCGGCCCCGGCCCCGGCCCCAGCCCCGTGCAATAACCACCCGCATCGCGTCCAAGCCGCACCTTTGTCCCCCACTTGTTCCTTCACCCAGGCGGTGGCCGCGGCGATGCTGTCGGTCCGGGTGACGTCCAGGATCACCGTTTGCAGCCGCTGCGACGTCGCCTTCCTCAGCTGCTCCGCGCCCTGCTGGGTGAGACAAGCCGCCAGCACCCGCAGGCCCCGCACGTCCAGCTGCTTGGCCAGCCGGTTCCCGAAGCCGGAGTCGCAGCCGGTGATCAGGACGTATTTCTCCGGGAGGCCCTCGATGCTCTGCCGCTCCCGGTACCATCGGCGGAGGAAGTACAGCCCCAGCAGGGCGGCCAGGTACAGCCACATCCTCACAGGCGGACTCTGGCTGCAGACCAAATAATCCGAGGACCACTGGGGGACGGCTTGTTTGACCTTCGATGGAGGGAAACAGCCCCAGCTGTCAACGTGACCCTGCGGCGGGACAGCGCTAACCAGTCACCGTTCGTTGGGGGTTCTCAGCCGCAAAGACCCCGTTAGAAATCTGAACTGTTTATTCAAGAGACGGAGAGGAAAAAAGGGGATGAATCAGTGTAAGCCTTTGAAATGCAACGGGCTAAGCCAGGCTTCCTTTCAACCATCTCCCTTTAGCAATAGGGAAACCCCGTCTGAGGGTATTTTTAGATGGCATTAAACATGCTACCGCCTGTCCTTTGGGGGGGGGTTAGTTGAGATGGGGTGCAGCTGCTGGGGTTGTTAAGGTTCAAACCCATTTCCTGGAGGGCCGAACCAGACACACCCACCCAAAAGGGAGAGAGAAATGCATGGTGAGACACGCCTCGTAGTCTGGCGGCTGGAGAAAGGCCCGGTCTGATCGGTCGCTTGGAGACCCGGCCCGCTCGTGCCAGCCTGGGGCCGGTAAGGGCCTGGCTTTGAACTGCCCCTCTGGTCCAGTGCTGGAAAATACGCCAGCGAAACCTGCCGCGGGTTCGGCAAAAGGAAAGTGACGGGAAGAAAATGGCACCAAAGAGGGCAAGGGAAAAAAATCCCCAGGGAAGGGGTGACAGCGGGAACCTGAGTCTCGCTCCCAGGGACGGTCCAGGATCCAGGAGGGGGTTGTTGAAAAGCCAACAGGAGGGGGAAAGTTTACCTGCTGCAAGCAAGGGCCCTGCTTGCCTTGGATTCCAGCTCCCGCTGTGCTCTGGGGAACTGGCACTTTGGAAATCAGACAGGACGAGCCTGGCGATTGGTGAAGGACAGACACCTCCCCTGGGGGTGCACCTCCCCAAGAGGCTGGGGCCCGGCTGGAGGCAGGGAGCGCATGCAAAGTGGAGTGTCTCGGGGGCAAAGTCCTGCCTGTGATTGAAAGGGACTGGTTCCAGCCTGTGGGGGAAGCGGTGCTGCATTTCTTGGCTGCACCTACCAGCTCCGAACCCACCGGCCGCCCCAGGGCCCCAGCGGTGGGGCCGGGCGGCCTGAGAGGGACCGGCTGGCAATCGATGGTATTTCTTGGGCTGGGGCTGGCACTGGCCTCGTTACTGTGTGGCAGAGCCCTGGGAGTCACCCAGGAAAGATGGGGACCCAAATGGGTGGGGGGGTGGGGGGGAGGTCCTGGAAACAAACGGGTAAGGGCCCTGCCCTAGATTTCGGCCCTGCTGGAGCAGAGCGGGGGCTGGGACGGAGTCCCGACTGAAGGGACCTATGCCAGAGCCGCCCCTAGGAATCCCACTGGCAGCTCCGGGACCGTTTCCTCCTGACCCCCAGAGTTAGAGGCTGGTGCCCTGAAGCAGGAGTGACGTTAGCCCGGCCACAGCTCCGCGGCCCGCAGCAGCCGCGCCCACCCCCCCCTTGGCCAGTTCTGTGGGGCTGGGGCGTGTGGGCTGCATGAGGGTCAGGCTCAGCACCGGACCCTGCTCGGGGAGCAAACGAACCCCCTCCCCCACGCTGGGACTGCAGCCCTTGCTATCTGCAGGGAAATCATTAACCCTCCTGCGCTCTAGCAAATCTCCGCTTGCCCGGCTCCGGGGGCAAGGCCCAGCACCCTGCCTTGTCCGAGGCCTGCCAGGGTCAGGGGCAGAGCCCAACGACCTGTGGGTCAGGGAGACAGAGCGCATTCACCGCCCCTCCCACGCTGGAGCAAGGCGGGCTGGCTGGAGAGAAGCAGGCTGCCTTTCCTCCTAGGTTACCCCAGATTCTATCTGAGCTCCGGAGTCACTCCAGTTTTCACCCAGTGTAAACTGCAGGCGGGAGGCGCCTCCCCACCCTGGTTCTCTGCCATTTCCTGCTTTAACCGTTTATTTTCGTTAAAGTGATGCTGTCTTTACGCCAGCGTGGGTTCGGCTCGGGTGGCGACCGCTGCGAGCGCCTCAACGTGAAAGTCCCCTCTGCTGCTCGCTTCACATGTAGAGCTTCACAAAGACCAAGGGTAGGGACCACCCAGACATTCACAGCTCTATGGGCTAGTCTGGGTTATCACTTGTATTCAAGTTACAGTTCAGGTTCTGATTCCCCAAGCGTATAGAAATCTTATCGAGCCCTGCGCCCAAGTTACAAATACAGCCGTCCGGTACTCACCTCCTCCGGGATACTCTCGGAGTCCGATGGCTGCCTGGCCCTCAGGAACGGGGCCGATCCTGCCAGAGTTTTCCCGTCAGGAATTCATTTGACCCAGTCTGGGAGACCTCTTTTACCTTGTGCTGCCGGCTACGCCGACACTCTGCACATGTGCGTGACGGCACCCATCCTCTTGTTCCTTATTCGCACTGTGTCCCCCCAGAACAGGGGGATCCCCAGTTTTTCATAGGTCGTTTGTAGTTCCTTTTATTTCTCATTGGCAGTTACGCACGAGGAGAAGCCTGCAGTTCATTTTTGGCACTACCCCCCCGTTGGCACGCCTCTTCCTGTCAGTTCGTGGCATCGGCTCATTCTTTGGTCATTTCTCAGGCTTCTGGCCTAGTCTGGCTAAGCTGATATCTTACAGGCCTCAGCCTGCAGGCCTTGCGTTTCAGCCCCTAATGCGTGTGTACTGGGACTGTTGACCCCTTACTAAAACCCAGTGGGGGGGGGGGGGTTGGTTGGCTGGCTCCCAGTCCCAAAAGAAAGGGGAAGGGTCGATGGGAAATCAGGACCCTGAGACTGACAGCGCTCCAGGTCAGCCTGATTGACAGGGCGGGCAGGCTAATGAGGAAGTCAGGGGGGTCCTGTTCTCCGTCTGAGCTGGAATTGCCTGGAAGAGAGTGGGGGTCCGAGCTGAGCCCGGGAGCAGGGCCGCGCCGGCCAGAGAGGCAGCCCAAGAAGCTGGGGTAGAATGGAGCTGGGGCTGGGGCTGGAGCCGAGTGCGGGGAGCAGCTGGGGAGAGCGAGGGGGACCCTGGGCAGCGGGCCCAGCGCAGGGAGACGCCCCCAGCCAAGGGGCCCTGCAGCCCAGTTGTGGAGGGGATCATAACCCTGACGGGACGGGGGCAAGGCTGGGAAGGGTCCTGCCACCTAGAGTCAGAGGGCGTGTGACCACTGCCAGAGCAAGTGTCCGACCCACAGTTGGGTTCTCAGCACCTGTAGCCCAGTGGGCCACTTACCCGTATTCGATTCATTGCTTTGTTATTCTGCTTTATTCTGTTTAGTAGCAACGCAAGGAGCCGACAGGCTTTTATCCTGTAAGATTTGGCTTTAGTGTGAGGCTTGATGCTTGGAGCCTTTGGTCTAGAGAAACGTAAGTCACTTATAAGCTCTCGGGAACTGAAAGTGACATGCCAGAGGGGGGATTTTGTCCAGAATACTGACATCAGCCACCCACAGAACATCACTGACACCAGCATGCGAAAGGTTCCCGACAGAACGTCCGACCGCAAAGATACCATGACAGCAAATTGACGTATATGCTAATCGGGTAACATCAGCCATAGACTAACCTAGAGAAAAACGAACCCCTTAAGGGGAGGAAATACAAATAAGGACCTCTAGTAAATAGGCATTGGTCATGGCAGCGGCAGCGTAACTGACTATAAAAGTCACATCCCAGGGGCAGCAGAGAGGTTGAAGAGATGTAGACCTTGGGAGGGGCCAGAATGGCGGCCACCGGGGAAGATAAGGACAATGACGGTGATAAAAAACATCATGGTTAAGTATAAAAAATAAGGGTGTGAGTATGAACGTCCAAATGTACTTTCTGTATTATCTCTATTTGCCTTGGTAAGTTAAAGTGTGTGTATAAACTTTGCTAAATTATTAATAAATATATATATTTGGAGAGAGAGAGAGAGTTCCTGCCGTGTGAGTGTTGCTCTCGACGCTGCTCATGCTCTTGGGGACGCAGGCTCAGACCTGGTGTGTGTGTGGGGGGGGAGGGGCTGCGTTGTTGTGGGATCCCCTTTGGACCTGGGCTCACAAAGTGTCACTCTGTAAAATGGGAGGCAGTGCGGCCTATTGGCTAGAGCACTGAACTGGGGCTTGGGAGGGCTGCATTCTATTCCCGGCTCGGCCACTGGCCTGCTGGATGGCCTTGGGCAAGTCTCTTTCTCCCCCCCCCGTGCCTCAGTTTCCCCATCTGTAAAAAGGGGATCCTGCCCCAGCCCTCCTTTGTGCGGTGCTTTGAGATCTAGGGGTGAGACAAGCTCGGTATTATTCCAATGCAGCAAATGCTCCCATCCAAACAAGGAACCAAAGAGACCAGGGAGGGAGTGAATCAATGGGAAATATTTCTTTATTCGGTGTATGACGGTAGCACCCCACTGCCCCCCCCACCAGGGGGCTCAGTCAGGGACCAGCCCCCCCACAACCCGGTGCTAGGCGCTGTACGAACACCAAACCAAGAGACACGCCCTGCCCCAAGGAGCCTCCAATCTAAGGCAAGAGCCATCAGGTGGAGGCAGCACAAGGAAACGGGCCCTGGGGGCGCTGCGCGCTGCCTTGGCCTGGGCGTTGGCTGAGCTGCCCGCGACGGTAACGGCCAGCTGGGGCTGAAGGCTGTAGCGGCCCCGGTTGCTTTCCCCAGCCGGTGAGAGCCTGCGCCTCCCAGCCGCACGCCTGGGAAGTGAGCTGGCCCTTAACCATTCAACAGAAGGCTCCAGTCCCGGTTAAGAAGGCGCTGCCGGGAGCTGTGCTCGTCTGCACCATGCGGGGTGGGGGCGTTGGCACCGATTCCAGTGCAGATGCCCCCCCCCCGCCCTCCGGTGCAGACGGGCCCCTGCTGGATTTCCCAGCTTCTTCCTCTTCCGCCCCCTGCGATGCCCCCTTAGGTGCCTCCTGTTTGTCCTCCCCCCACTTACACGGCCTGGGCTGGGCGGGGCCAAGTCCAGGTCAGCACCCAGTCCGCCAAGGCCGTGGGCAGGTAGGAGAGGGGGATGTAGAAGAACTGGGCGTCCCAGCCCCCGGAGTAGCGGGTGCGGGGGTGACGGGCCGTCAGCGCGTGCTCCATGCAGTCGGTGACCAGGTAGAGGTTGGTGCTGGGTTTTGTCAAGAGTATCTCTCTGGTGAGCTTGTGGTCTGTAGGCAGAGAAGGGGGAGAGGTCAGCCCCATATGAGAGAGAGAGAGAGAGAGACACACACACACACGGCAGATTTCGGTCCGGAGGGATTCAGCCCTTTGTGGGAGGGGAGGGGGGACTACGCTTTGACCCCCATGGCTGCAGAGAAATGCTCCGCCAGTTACGGCGACTTCCTGAGTCTGCAGGCAGCCTGCGTCGATAGCGCTGCCCCTATTCAGATCATTGGCGTGTTGACTCTTAAACGTAACGATGTCTCCCTGGGAACTGGATTTCCAGTCAAAGTCAGGGCATAACTGGGGGGAATCCCCTAGTTGGAAGCAACTGACTCTCTGGGGAGAGGCTAAAATCTTCAGAGGACTCGACACCCCCCCCCCCTTAGTCTTAATCTGCCCTGAATTTGGAGCCCGTGCTGCAAAAGCCCTACCTGCGGAGAATCTCCATTAGCTACTAACAGCGTAGGGGCTACCACCCACAACCGCACAGCGAGCATCCGTCCTGCAGTGGGCAATCTCTCCCCCTACACCTAGCGTGTGAGTTCATGACAGCAGCTGAGTGCCCCTTTGCAGAAATTTGGCTGTATTCGGGCAGACGCCCCAGCACAGCAGCTCCGGGGTCCCCGTCAGGGGAGACGAGGGGACCGATTGTTTATGGGCTGGCTGGCTGGCTTCTCCCCTCTTCCCACCCTCGGGAGCCTGGCCAGAGAGTCCCCGTCTCCCCACGACGCCGCAGGAGCTCTCACGGCTGTCGAAGTAGCGCTGCCCGTAGCTCTCCTTGATCTCGGGGCGGGCGCGGTGCCAGCTCTGCTCCAGGCACTCCAGATTGCGCTGGGTCTCCGTCATGGGAGTGCGGAAATAGCCCGGCTCCACAATGGCGATCTTCACGCCGAAGGGCCGGAGCTCGCGCCTGGAATGGGACAAGCCCGTCACCGCCCGCCACCGGACGCCGCGGATTTCGGGAGCCCAGCACGAGCCTGCCTCCGATTTCTGGAGTGCCCCCCCAACTCCCCCTTTGGGAACAAGGCCCAACGCTGGGGCCCCTTAAAATCAATGCGCCTGGAAATCAGTGGCCAGGGCCAGGTTTCCCAAAGCACTAGGGATTTGGGGGGCCGATAGGGGACCCTCAAAGGAGCCTGCTCCCCAGAGGGCGGGCGCTAAGGACCGTCTCTGCGAATCAGGCTCTTTGAAGGATTTCAGGGCAGGCCCTCAAAACTTGTGGCCCCCAAATCGCTTTAGAAACTCCTAGCCCTGGGCCTCTCTGCGCTTGGACATTTCTGGGCTGCTCTGGGGCCGGGGTGGGGCAGGGGGGCGGGTACCTGAGGCTGTCGGAGAACGCCTCCACGCCGTACTTAGAAGGGCAGTAGCCCCCTCCGTAGAAGGCCAGCCGGCCCAGGATACTGGCCACGTTGACGACCCGGCCCCTGGCTCGCTTCACCAGGGGCAGGAAGCTGAGGGTCACCTCGATCAGGCCGACCAGGTTCACGTCCAGCACCTTGACGAAGTCGTCCTTGGTCAGCCACTCATTGGGGGCCAGGGGGAGGAGGAGCCCCGCGTTGTTCACCAGGCCCCAGAGCCCTGGGAAAGGGAGAGCGAATGAGCATGGGGGGAGGCTGTTCCCCTTCGATCTGAAATCCCCTAACGGCACCAACCTGGCAATTAAACCAACCCCCGTCCTGGCCCCAATCCCCCACGTGTGCCTGGGGCAGCTGCTAAAGGGCCATTTCTCTGTGCCTGGGCCGGGACCGTCTGCGTCGTGCTGAGGTTATCCAGCATTATCCGGCATCACCGTGCCTTGAACGCAGCTGCCGCCGGCTCTTCATCTCTTCATCCTGGGCGGAGAAGCACTGGTGCATTGAAACTGGAGCGGGGGCGGGGGGGGGGGGGAGGCGGACACCCAGCCCCCCCTACTCTAAGCCACTAGATCCCACACCCCTCCCAGATATGGGAATAGAACCCAGGAGTCCTGGCTGCCAGCTCTCGCTGCTCTAACCACTAGACCCCACTCCCCCCCAGGATGGGAATAGAACCCAGGAGTCCTGGCTCCCGACCCTTCACTCCTTTCCTGCCTGTCGCATTAGCACAGCCCCAGCCTGTGTGAGCTCAGAGCTGCCCCTGGCAAAGGGGCAGGTGGAGGATTCAGGGGCCCCACCTTTGTCCCCCACTTGTTCCTTCACCCAGGCGGTGGCCGCGGCGATGCTGTCGGTCCGGGTGACGTCCAGGATCACCGTTTGCAGCCGCTGCGACGTCGCCTTCCTCAGCTGCTCCGCGCCCTGCTGGGTGAGACAAGCCGCCAGCACCCGCAGGCCCCGCACGTCCAGCTGCTTGGCCAACAGGTTCCCGAAGCCGGAGTCGCAGCCGGTGATCAGGACATATTTCTCTCGGAGGTTCTCCACAGTCTGCCGCTCCCGGTACCATCGGCGCAGGAAGTACAGCCCCAGCAGGGCGGCCAGGTACAGCCACATCCTCCCACACTGCAAATCAACCAACCAAGCAGATGGGGCAAGACTTGCACTGAAATGCAGCCAGCTCTGGGGTGGGTCGGAGCAGCTGCTTAACAGCACAGAGCAACAAAGGGGGCGCTTAGAAGCCTGCCTGCAGCAACCACAGGACTCATCTAATACAAGTGGGGCTTTACAAGAAATAGTGCCTGGGATTTTAGAATTAAACTCCTTATGGACATAAAACACGTCTGTAAGCAGAAAAAGACAGGGCTGGAGGGTGACAGAGCCGGAGTTTCCAGAGCTCTCAGCTCCCCGCAATGTGTTCAGAACACAGGCTGTATTTTCACTTGCGCTTCGCACCCAGCAACTCCCCCTGGGCCGCTGGAGTCCAGTTTCCCAAAGAGCCCTGCTGCCGACGTGCTGAACCCTGCTAAATTCACCCCTCCTGCTTCGTGTCACCATTGACACCAGTGTCCAACGGTACGCGATCCCACCTGGGGCTGGTGTACAGCCGCTGGGCACGGAGGTGAACGCCAGGGGAGAACCCACCCCTTTGATTCACCAGTTGTGCCAGCCTGCGGACAACGGTTCACGTTACGGCTGAGATCTGCCTGAGCCAGCAGCCCTGAGCCAGCCCCTGCCCCCTACCCTTCCCTGTATCCATCACTAACAAGGACACCGGCCGCTTTGCTCCTGTCAAGCCTACAACCAGCTACCTGTGAACAAGGTCTCCGCTTGCCTTGGGTGCCAGCTCCCGCTCTGCTCTGCAGCCTTGGACACAGCGAAGGTGAGGAACATACCACGCCCCGTGGAGCGGAGCAGGGCAGAGGTCCCGGGCAGGCGGCTGAGCGCTGGATGGGGGCGGGGCATGGAAAGGCCAGGGGGCAAGGTTCTGCCTGTGGTTAAACAAAAGGGTCTTGTCAGTTTGATCTGGCCCCAAAAGGGATTCAGAAAAACCAGCCCGTGAAATCCCAGCGGTGCTGAGTTCCCGGGTGCTCAGACTGGGGGTATCGAAGCCTAGTCCGTCGCCGGGGAAGTATGGATGGGCCGGGAGACTGGCTGGAATGGGTGTGTCTAGAGACAGACAGAAGGGAACACCTGGGATTGTGGTGCTTCCCTGAGATTAGGGCCCCAGTGTGCCGAGCGCTGGACGGACCCCCCCTTCCCAACCGAGATGGGGGCCCCAATGTGTCTGGCACTGCGCAGCCCTCCCCACACATGATGGAACGCACCCCCTGTATTCACACCCGGCACGCCATTGTAACCGTCTTCGTACAAGGGACGCCTCGGGAGGTATTGTTTGGAAACTCATCCTTTGCTGGTCACTAGCGTCCTGGCCACGTAGGCTTGGCAGCACTGGATGTGAAGCGAGACGCTTTCCCCGCACGATGTTATTTACACAAGGGCCAAACCCCACAGCCGAGCCCAGGCAGAAGTCAGCCAGCGGGTCTGTCCTGCGCAAAAGAACGCGTGTTTGCCTTAATTTGCATTTAGGCAGTAAACAGAATCATCAGGTGCAAAGGGGGAAGGAAGGAAACGTGCACGTAAGCATATACAGGTGAAAAAACCCAGCAGGGAACATCCTTCCACACAGACGCTTTGTCCCCTGGTTCTCAGCTGGCAATGTATTTCAATGCCCCATAAACGATAAAAAGGAGGGGCAAACGCCTCCAGGGACCCCTCTCCCTCTCCCTCCCTGCCCATCTCATTCTCTGCAGCTGAGAAGAGCAAGGAAACAGCTGTTGGACTCTGGGGGGACGGGGCCTGACTCGAAGAGTTTGGTCAGTATGACCGTGCGCTGGAGGCATGCGGTGAGGAACTCTGCTTGTAGCTAATACGGGTTAAGTTCGGCACTAGGAAGCGTTTTATCTTGATTTCTCCTGTAGCCATTTCTGATTTGTTATGCCTCGGAGCTCGTCCTCACTTCAAGCCTCTCCCTTGGTAACCAACTTGTTTTACGGTTTTACCTAACCCAGTGTGTTTGCGTTGAGGTGTCTGGGTAACTCTTTCAGGTGACAAGCTGCTGTATATGATTCCCTTGAAGGAATAACAGACTGACCGCATTCACACTGTCCAGGAGAGGGCCGGGCAGCCCAGGACGTACATTTCTGGGGCGGGGTGGGGAGGGGGAAATCCGGGACTGGGAGTGTGTTGAGGTGACCCTGCAGTGTAACCCAGGCTGGGGAGAGCCAGGGTGTGCCTGGCAGGCTGTGGTTACACACACACACACCTGGGAGTGACCTGCAGGCTGATTGTGAGCAGTCCAGGTTGGAGCAAGGCCTTGCACGGCACCCCAGGTTGCAGGACGGGGGGGGGGACACAGCCCCGCACTGGTCTGGATTGCATGCCTGATGCTGCACAGACCTTCTCGCCCCCCTGCCTCCCTGAACTGCAATCAGGGTCCCATCTTGCCAGGCGTTGCATGGACCCCCCTGACTGAGATCGGGGCCCTATTGTGCCAGGCGCTGCACAGGGCCTCATCGTAGCGGGTGCTGGCCAGACACACAGTGAGCAGCCTCTGCCCCCACAAGTTCCCAGTCTAAGCCGATGAGACGAATGGCGAAGCATCCGTTCCAAGGCAGGGGACGGGAAGCCGAGGGAAGTCACCCCAGTCTTTTGTCCCAGGCACGGCCAGATGGATGAGACCAGGACAGCCCTTAATTCCCCAGCTCTGCTCGGGGCCAGTCCCAGCTGCACCAGAGGCAGGTGCAAGAGGCCCTGTGGGGGGCAGCTGGGATCAGGGTCCCCCAGAGACTGTTTCCTCCTGACCCCTGATAGTTAGAAGCCGGCTCATGCGCCGAAGCAGGAGTGTTTGTAGTCCGGCCGTAGCATATTGTCCTTGTCACGCAGACCCTAAATCTCTCCCTTGTTCCTATTGGACGTTTTGGAGACGGGGGTCAGGGGGAGGTGGAAATCTGCCGCGGCCACGTGAATTTCAGGATCAGCGTTGGACTGTGGTGACGCTCTGCCCCCGGCTACCAGCCCTCTGTGGAATTGCAGCACCTTCCCTGTCGATGGGGAAATGAATAATTAACTGCGCCAAGGTCCAGCAAATATCAACTTTCCCCCAGCGGTTCACCAGCCAGGGGAGTGCATTCGTTTCTGCCAGCCTGTTAGCGAGGGAGGCTGGGCTGAAGGGAGGCTGGGGAAGCAGCCCCTGGGAAAGCAGGGACAGGATCGACTGGGCCCCAGCCTTCAATCAATGATTGATTTCTGGACCATCCCCCCCGCCCCATCCCCCGCCAAGGCTTCATGGCCACAGACTGCAAGGTGAAAACAGCATCACTCTGTGCTTAGCGAATGCCGAGCCGAAGCACACATAGGCGGGGGGCAGAGACGCAATATGGTAATAGAGGAGCGCAGGCCCTGATCCCGTGAGATGGCGGAGGATCTCCATGACTCGTGATCAGTACAGGGCCTCTGACACACAGCCGTTCCCGTTTCCCCCCCGAACGATGCATGTGCTGCGTGGCGGTGGCCGGGGTGGAGGGCTGTGTATGTGGGGAGGGGGTGGCCCTTCCAGGGCGCGAGCGGCCTGGCATCGCAGTCGAGGGGGGGGCTGCAGTCTGATGCGGGACTTGGCATTGCAAGAGTGCAGGGCGCTCTGCGCACGGCCCCCAGGGGCTTTGCAAGGCACCGTAGGCAGGGGGCTGGGTTGTCCCTCGGGGGGCCCGTGCTGGGACTGGGGTGGGGGCGCTGGCGTGGCAGGGGGCGCCCTGGGGTCCCTGGGGGGGGCCCTGTAGTCAGGGGCTCTGCGGGGGGGTTGCAAGGCGCTGCGGCCCCCGGGCTGAGCTGCATTGGGAGTCCGGGGCTTTGCAATGAGGGGGGGCTGACGCGGAGACAGGCCCCGCCCGGACTACAGCTCCCAGCCGCCCCGGCCCGGCCCCACCCTGCACACGTGCGCCGCGGCCGAGCCGGTTCCCGCGCGCGCCCCGCGGGCCATGGCCGGGTTCGAGCCGGGCTCCCTGCCCGACCTGCTACCGCTCTACTACCGCCGCCTCTTCCCCTACGGGCCCTACGGACGCTGGCTCAGCTACGGCGTGGGTGAGCGGCAGCTCGGGCCGCCTGCACCAGGGAGGGGCCGCCGGGGGAGAGATGGGGGGGTGCATGGGGTGTGTGGGGTGCATGCACGGGGAGATGGGGGTGCACGTAGGGGATGCACGGGGAGATGGGGTGCACGCAGGGGGGCGGGTGCACGGGGAGATGGGGGTGCATGGGGAGATTGGGGTGCACGCAGGGGGCGATGGGGGTGCACGGGGTGTGGGGGTGCATGCACGGGGAGATGGGGGTGTATGCAGGAGGCGGCGGGGGGTGCACGGGGTGTGGGGGTGCACGCAGGGGACAATGGGGTGCATGCATAGGGAGATGGGGACGCATGCACAGGGTGGGGGGGGACGTGCACAGGGCGGAGGGTCCATTTCCGGGGCGGGGGGAATTTGGGGCAGGAGTGAGTGTGTACAGTGGGGGGCAGGGAGCAGGACGGGGAAGTGTAAAAGGGGGGATTCTAAACGGCCCAGGTCCTGCAGTTGGGACCCTTCTGGGGGGCGGCAGGGAAGGAGGGGATCTAAGGGGTGAGGAGCTGTGTGTGGGGGGAGTCCCAAGCTAGGGGACGGGCGGCTGTCAGTCAGGCCTCAGGGCCGTTAGATCCAGGGCGGGGGAAGGATGTACGCGAACATCTCCCTAGGGCGCTCAGACAGTCCGAGTGCCGCTAGATTCGACGCCGTTTCCCTTGCAGTGGTGAAGAATTACTTCCAGCGGCGGGAGTTCTCCTTCACACTGCGCGATGACATCTACGTGCGGTACCAGTCCTTCAACAGCCCCCAGGAGCTGGAGAAAGAGATGCAGAAAATGAACCCCTACAAGATCGACGTGGGAGCCGTGTATTCGCATCGAGTGAGTCCGGACTGAGAGATCCGGTATTCTCCCGTCCGGTCTACGCGTAAAACATCCATCAATATAGTGATGGAGCTCCGGGGTCTAAAAATCCACCCCCCGGAGCCCCTCAGCTCTGCCAGCCTAACCCAGGGTGTAGATCCAGCTTGGTGGACAGACAAATGCTACTGTCACTCGGGGAAGTGGAGTTCCTTGCGTCTACACGATGAGTTTACAGCAGGATAGCTATGGCACAGTAGCCGTGCCACTCTAGCGCCTGGAGTGTAGACGGGCAGGTCACTGAGGTGGCTTAGCGTTTTTCTTTATCGATGGAGAAACTAAGGCAGAGAGAGGGATGTGGCTAACCTGGGAAAAGGGATGACCTCGTTAATTATAGACCTGACCTCGTTCCCAGGTAATGAGAGAACGAAAGCTGGGCGAGGTGCTAGCCCCCCGGGGCTGGGAGAACATCACAAAATCCTCTGTTGCAGCAGCCGTCACAAGGGCTGGTGGCCAAACCGATCCCCGTTGCCTTGTGATGCAGCAACTCGGGTGGCGCGTGAATGCAACGCCGCTGGCTTAGCAGGTCACGTGGAGGGATCCCCGGCCAAACCGGCAGTCACCCGCGCGGCCCCCACGGCCGTCGAAACTGACCCGTTCCTCCCCTTCTGCAGCCCAGCCAGCGCAACACCGTGCACATGGGCGCCTTCCAGGCTCAGGAGAAGGAGCTGGTGTTCGACATAGACATGACGGATTACGACGACGTCCGGAGGTGCTGCAGGTATTTGCTCTTGCCGTCCGCTCCAGTGAGCACAGACGTGTTGTGAGACAGTCCCTGTCCCAACCAGCTTGCAGTCTAAAGAGATGAAGCAGACAAAGGAACCCCATGTTACAGATGGGGAAACTGAGGCACAGGGTCGGGCCAAGGTCACAAATGCGTTGCTCCAGAG